TGGGGGGAAGGGGAGGGGGCAGGAAGGGGGAGAACAAGGGAATCTGTGGCTGTTATGTAGAACTGAATAGTATTGTAAAATAAAATAAAATAAAACAATAAAAATAAAAAAAGATTATTTTATTAACACTTTGACAGTCATGTCAATCACTTGTAAAGTTAGAGTTACCTAACTTAAGGCTCAAGGAGGGGAGACCAATACTGAGCCCCAAGGTAGGAATCAACTAGAGATTAGGTGAATGTAGTTTCAACAAGCACGTTCAAGGAGGGTCTTGTCAGTTTAGGACAATAAAAGATAGTAAGGTTTTTGAAGGCAGAGGGGCAGTGTAAAAAAGAAATGATAAAGGCTGGGTGTGGAAACATGACTCAGTCAGTGGAGACCCTATCTCATAAACACAAGGGCTTGACTTGAGCTCCCTGTAAACCACATAAAAATCCAGGCATTAGTTAGATGCTGTCGTGTACGCCTATAATCCCAGCAATGTCGAGATGGGAGGCAAAGGTTGGAGGATTCCTGAAAACATGTGAGTCCCATGCAAGGGAGCAAACGGACCCATGAGAGGCCCCGTCTCAATCAAAAGGCAAAAGGCACTTGAAGACTGACACTTGACGTTGTTCTCTGGACTCCAAACATGTGTGGTGCGCACAGGTACATCACCCTAACATGGTCACACACATACACACCAAAACAAACAAGGACCAGTCATAACCAAGACAAAGCATTTCAATCTCAGAGAAGAGAAGGACACGCAATCTCTGTGCATATCCCTCTGCAAAAGATAAACTCAATTGATCTTCCAACTATGAATTCTTGGAAATGGAGAAAGGATGCGGCAAGGTGCATCGGGTGTGCTGGTGATCATCTAGAGGCCTGCCAAGCTAGCTTCATTCCCACAAAGAATGGGGCAAAAAGGCGACATATGCCATGGAGAAACCAAAATAACAGCTTTCTCCCTTCGGGATAAGAGGGGCTGAAGGGTGGGAGGCTGCTGTGTGGACAACGGCTTGGGTCGTTTAATGGGGCCCCTGCATCCTTCCTTTTCCCCTATTGGTCCTGTTCAGATGTCCACTCCCTGGCCTTCCCACCATTTCTTCTTGCAATGACATTCTGAATCAAGAAGCCATCATCTCGGGGAGTTAGCTTTCCTTCTTTCCTTTCCTTTTTCCTTTCCTTTCCTTTTTCCTTTCCTTTCCTTTCCTTTCCTTTCCTTTCCTTTCCTTTCCTTTCCTTTCCTTTCCTTTCCTTTCCTTTCCTTTCCTTTCCTTTCCTTTCC